CCAAAACGAAATTCAGGTGCTGCCAATAGAAATAACTTTACCACTGAGCCACTGAATGACTAAATAATACTTACCAAAGACAGTAACACTGAAGCTCTTTATGATGCTGAATCTGCTGCTGTTGATCTTTAGTTGATAAACTCCAGAGTCTATGGTTCTGATGTTTGTGATGGTCAGAGCTCCAGTCTGATTGTTCAGTGTCAGTCTGTCTCTGAATCTCACATCCCTATCTTTACACTCAACATCTGCACAGATCTTATTGGGAAGTCCATTGATTTCAGCGATGAGAGTGTCATTGAAATACCATGTCAAATCATCTGGGTTTTGTACTACACCAGTACATAAAGTAACTGTTTCTCTCTCCCTCACTGGCACTGTCTTCTTTTCAAAATCTGTATCAAAAACACCAGAAGCACAAATCGACAGCTGATTGAAGGATCATTTTGGGGAGAACTCAACAGCAAGAAATGGCTGTGAAGACATATTCACATAGCCTATTCATTTCCTGAATCTCGAGAAATTCAGTAGAACCAAAAGTAACTGCAAAATTAATTATTGTAGTCACCTTTTCTGAGCTCTTCTCTGTTACAACATCCGTTTAATTTCCTCTCTTTTATGTTTAAGGGCTGTACTCTCAGTTCCTTGTATTCTGCTATTTCACTTTCTGTATTCTGTATTCCCGTTTGACTTTCACTGCTGCCTTGTTTGTCTCCATAGTTACCCTTGTTAGTTTCCAGGGTAATGCATTAACCTCACTTGTTCCTTGTTTGTTCCTTGATATCCTGTGTATTTACACCCATGTTTTCAATGTGATATGAGAATTGAGATGTAAAATGAGAATTTGTATGTAGTTTATGTAAAGTGTGGTTCTACAAAACATACATTTAATATATGTTTGCACAGACATGGAAACGTACAATAATGACATATTTGCAGCATCTACGCGTATACTGACATATTGACGATAATTAAAATGCAAATTATTCACATTACAGATTTTGCAGACTTACCAATAGTTCTTAGGAATATTGAAATTGTGGCATTAACATTTTATTATATTGTATTAAGTTGTCGTATGTTGTAAATGTTGTAATTATCATTTAAATCTGACAAATTTTTAAACTGTTTGTCATAAACCAACATCTCAAGAAAATGTTATGGTGTTTCAAATCAAAATATGACTTTCTTTTACAAAACAGGACGTTGATTTCATACATGTCCTCAGTTGAGGACAACGGGACTAAAAGCATGTTTATTATGCATTTTGGGAGACACAGCAAATGAATAGGGAAATAAATTATATTTCAATATTCCTATGAAATATTAGATATTATTATGAAAATCTTGACAATTATTACTCCCATCATTACACTTATTTTTTTCATTACGTGTTGCCCCAAAACACATTAATATGCAAATTATATACAGTTTATAGATACAATGTATATAATGGGAAAACCTGTTTATGGCCATTTTACACACATTTTGCATAAAGAAAAATGGTATATCAATCATTCTCTTATAACATAGTTGAGAATCATCTTTATACAAAGTTTGGTATAAAAAAAAAGGTCCCACTTTATATTAGGTGGCCTTAACTACAATGTACTTATTTGTACAATGTACTTATTGTGTTCATATTGTATTGCAAAACACTTTTGCTGCTATTGAGGTGGGATACGGATAAGTTTAGAGACAGGTTTGGTGGTATGGGTAGGATTAAGGGTGTGTTAAGGTGTAAGGAATGGGTCAACAGTGTAATTATAAATGTAATTACAGAAATTAATTACAGATGTAATTGCATACAGGTAATTTTTTAAAATATAAGTACAATGTAAAAACATGTATGTACACAATAAGCACATTGCATCAAATGATTAATTTAAATGTATGTACTAGTAGTTAAGGCCACTTAATATAAAGTTGGACCTAAAAATATCCTGAAACCTAAAAAATGTATTGGTGATTTAAAAAAAAAAAAAAAAAGTTTTTGCCTATGCATGTTCATACATGTGTTTTTTTTAATTGAGTCCCGGACATAGCATAACATATGAATAAAATATAATTTTTCAAAATGTATTATTATGCACTAAACAATGTAATGACATGAAAAACTACAACAGTTTTCCTAAAAAAAACAGTTTTCCGGGTCTCAGGAGTTATGAAATGATAACATTTAGTTCTCAACTCTCAAAACGTGAATTACACTTGTGTAGGAAGATGACATGAAGGCTCTAATACTTTAACTCTGAAATCAGAGCACAGTTCAATAATTTAATCAAAATCGAAACTGAATATGGAACTATACCAAGCTGTCTTGACGTCTTTTAAACGGTCCAGGTACATCCCCGAAAGTTTCTGAAAGTTCTGTATTGTGTTGTACAATGTACTTCATGAAAGACTTTCTATAGTTCTAGTGCTAAAGTTAAAGTGGGACACGAAAGTAAGTGCATTATTGTTGTTAACTTTTTACTGTTGTATTGTCGTACAGTATGTATCAATGAATGACACAGTTTTGGCTCTCATGGTGTGCGTGAACAAGTTTGAACGTTCTGCTATGTTGCTTATTCTGATCACTTATAATGGGCATTTTTTGCATTTAAATTGGCTGTTGAAATTGTAAATAATGCATGTGTTTTTTTCTAGTGTATCAGGAAATTTGTTGATTACCGTTTTGACAGTGTCTGCATATTTGAGTCATATTTGGTAATTCTCTTTAATGTATTTGCCCTGATTTGCTCCTTTTTACTAGGAAATTTATCTATTTTTATATTATTTTGTCATCATTATTCTGTTTTAAGGAGTTAAAATTCGTCCTTTCCTTGATTGACACGGCAATGTTCTATCACATTATTTTGACAGTTAAAGTTTTTTTTGTTGTTGTTGTTGTATGTTGGAGTGGGTGGGTTTTGGTGTGCTTTTGCACTGGAAATCGTCCATCCAACACATCAGGATAATAATCTGGATAATATTTTCAGCGATTAACAACAATAAATTCTGCTCTGCGCCTCACAAAACTATTGTATTCCATCAGAGAGGACTGCAACTACAAAACATTTGGACTACTTTTGGTACTGCTTTTGACATTTTTGCAATAAATAACTTATTATTGTGATTGCACATCTGTCATTTTTTCTTTATACTTTACATATTTTTAAGAAATAGTTATGGTTAGGTATGAGTGGGATTAGTGACTATAAAAAAAAAAATGTAATGCCATATTGTTACTAAAAGGGTCATTTCCCATTATAAAGCTGTTGGCTGTTTTGTTTTTTCATCCCTGCTTGGATTTCTGCCTTATTGTGGACTTTCCATTTTCCCAACCATTCACTCATTGTATTTTTCTTTACTGGACTTCTCTCAAAGCACTCATTGATGTTGATGATCTTCCATGGACATTTTGTGAGTTTGTGGATTCTCAGTCCATTCTGACATGGCCACAGAGGCCGTCCCCAAACTCTGTTATAGCCAAGGAGTCTGCTTCTGAACACCCTGTCTATTCAGTAATGGCCAAGAAACTCTCTGTGCTTTCTGTCACAGCCACAAAGGCCATTTTTGAACTCTCTGTGTCCCCTGTTGGTTCTGTCATGACCATGGAGGCTGACATTGAACTCTGTGAGATCCCTGTCATGACCATTGAGGCCATCGATAAGCTCGCTGTGCTCTCTACTTCAGTTTCACTCTGGTGGTCTAATTGTTAGGAGTGTTTGTGTGTGTGTGTGTGTGTGTGTGTGTGTGTGTGTTTGTAATGCATTACCAGGTGAGATTATAAACTACTTGCACTGTGCATTTTATAGCACATTTTGAATACTCTGATATATTTTGTTCTGTTCATAATGCATTATAATAAACACAATGTTGGGATTTAAACACATAAACATTCTTTAAATGACTCACCATGAACAGTAACATTGAAGATCTTTTCACTGCTGGGGCTGTTGAAAATCTTCAGTTTATAAAGTCCAGCATCTGAGGTCATTATGTTTGTGATGGTCAGAGATCCAGTCTGACTGTCCAGCTCCAGTCTGTCTCTGAATCTCTCATCACATTGTTCATCTGTACAGATCTTACAACGATCTCCAGTGATTTGAGTGAGGCGAATGTCATTATAATACCATCTAATTCTGTCTTGTTGGTTTTTTTTATATCCAGTGTGTAGAGTGACAAAATCTCCCTTCATTACAAACACTGTAATTTCTTCAACACCAAACACACCTGAAGAAGATACAAACAGTTAATTATAAATCATTTCAAGTATATTGGTAGTCTTTCAATATATGACTAAATTTCCACATACAGCTGTTACAACTGAGACTAAATAAAAATAAAAATGTGTAAATAATTTTTTTTTTCTGTAAATAAAATCTCATAGGTAATGAAATAAAACTTGATTAATACAGATTCAAAACACAATACATCCATGACATGCGATCAAACAGTTAGAAGAACATCAGTGTGTAACGCAATAATAAATAATTTGTTTGTAGATTGTAAAAAAATATCTTACCACGGTGTAGTAAAACACACGTTGAGAGAAAAATAAAGATAAGAGTCATTTCTTCAGATAAATGAATTGTGATTTAGTGAAATAAAAGTTGCTTGTTCCTTTGCTTTGACGCTGTGATTTTCTGAAAGTGAAAGTGTTTATATAGCCTAGGCCAGGGGCGGAGCTGACGTGACAGCTGTGTTAGGCAATTTGTGAATCCAGCCTGTGAATTCGCACACATTATATATACTATGCTTGTATTCCTCTATGTTATTTTTCAATAGGATCAAAGAAAAGAAGATTGAAATCACCTGAAGATTGAGTCTGACTCTGTACGCTGAGCCCCCCTAAAATTAAAATCCTGGAATCGCCCCTGGCGTGCACAGACCTCCGGTGTCACTTGGTAGAAATCGCGGCCCGGGGGCACTTTATAGCGTCAGCAATTAAAGGGCAGGGTTTTTTTTTTCAGGACTATCATGACAACCTGTGGTTAACATGTGAACGTAACATGTGACTGACTAGAAACTCAACCATCCAGGTTGGAAATGAGACATTTCAACTCGAATGCTCCCTCATTCGAGCTCTTCTCGAACATAGCATTATTAGCTTGTTGTAATTGCAAGTGATCTACCAGCAGTTGCATCGCTTCCAAGGGAGAGAAATCCTCTCCCTTGGTCTCATGGGAAAGTAAAGTGTCCATCATATGCACACTTCAGAATCTCATTCGGGTACTTTTTTACCTACTCTTTTATGATTACTGTGAATTCAGACATACATCTTTTGTCACAAATAATATATTTATATTTATTTATTTATTTGCTTACGATACAGTAGGGAAGTAGTGTGCCATTTTCGATGCATCTAAAGTCTTTATGAATGGGTCAATAATATTCACATAACTGATTTATTCAAAAAATGTCAGTTTATTCAGTAATGAAAGACCAATGTGTTGCTTGGAAGCATGCAATAGCTCTATTTTGCTTTTTGCCCCTATATCTTTATTTTTTTATTTATTTTGTCTCAAGCCCCCGTTAATTACTGATCCTGCTGTCTCATGTACAGATGCATCTGCAGGGGCGCCGCTAAGGTTTCTGTGCCCCCTGAAAAGCATGTTCACTTGGGCCCCCACGGTCTGTGTTTTAAAGGTCAGTGCTTTTATTTATAAGATGCTGTCAAATCATTCATTTCCATTTCTTCTTTGTCCATCTCACTTCCTTTGTGAATGCATTTACCACCTTGTAGTGAATGGAATTTCTTTAGTATGCTAAGTTCATATATAACCTTTTCACCTCAACCACAGATGTGTCAATTCCTAACACTTAAGCCATTTAATGGAAACCAACAGCAAGTTTCAGTTTGACCCTAAATAAGATGCTGACTGGAACTGATATGTTCAGCAGTCTTTTTTTTTCAACTGAATGATAATAAAACATTTTTAAAAAACAATTTGTAATATATTTTATTGTGAAATTTAGGTTATATTCACATAACACTCCACTTTTAAATATTTAACATCCACTTTTAAACATTTAACACAATCAGGAAGTTACCTGTGTTGAATATGTACAAAACAGAAGATGGTCAATGTTAAATGATACAAATTAAGAATGTTTTCCAATATTGAGAACAGTTGAAGTATAAATAAAAGCTAGCAGAACCTTGATATACTATATGTGTAATACAAGACAAAAAAGTTTTTAGAGGATGTGCTTGAGGAGGGTCTTCATATTCTGTTTGGGGAGGATTCACACACCAGGTTAACAGCTTCAGTTGGGGGACAGTCTTATTACATAAGACTTTTTACTGAGCTATTTGAGAATGTTTTACATGTTTAGTTTGTTCTATTTGTGCTGGTGGCATCTGATTGGTAAGTTAAAAAATATTTGTATTGCTTAATACGGCTTTGATTCTGGTTCGTTTTTATTGCAGTCACGGAAAGCCTGCAGATATCAGGAATTTTTAAACCTTGAAAAGTATCGGAAATGTAATAAATGTTTGGGGGGACAATTAATGGAAAATTATGAAAATGCAAACTGCTTTCAAATACCAGGCCATTTTTAATCTTAATTTCAAATACTTCCAATGGACATAAAAAATAAAATGCAATTAATAATTAGTGCATTTTTTTATGAATGTCAAAACTCATGAAAAGATATTGCTCAAAAAGCAAGGGAGCCCTGAGTGCATTAAGGGATTTTAGATTCAATAAAACTATTTCATTAAATGTTCATGATCTCCAGGTGTGTTTGGTTCTGAGACAAATGAAGTACAGATGGAGTCAGTGATGGAGGGAGATACTGTCCTTTTACACACTAATGTTACTGAAGTACATGATAATGAGGATGACATGCTGTGGAAATTTGGAGCTGAAAAGTCTTTGATAGCTAAAATCAGTAGAGCTGCTGGAATCTTCAACACATCTGATGGTCCTGATGAGAGATTTAGAGACAGACTGAAGCTGGACAATCAAACTGGATCTCTGACCATCACAAACATCACAACTCAACATGCTGGACTCTATGAACTAGAAATAAATGGAGCAAAACTGTCAACAAAAACATTCAGTGTTTCGGTCTATGGTGAGTAGAGATTACCAGTCCTGTCCTTTATATAGTCTTATCACAGAAACACTTAGTGATTGTCATAAACACCCACTCAACACACTAAACCAAAAATAAGATTGTTAATTAGATTTAACCATATTTCGCTTTATTCTCTCATGTTTTCAGCTCGTCTGTCTGTTCCTGTCATCATCAGAGACTGTTCATCATCCTCATCATCACAGCAGAATTGTTCATTCATTCTCCTCGTTCATGTTTTTCAGCTCGTCTGCCCACTCCTAACATTACCAGAGATTCTTCACAAAACCTTTCACCATCATCATCATCACAGCAGAATTGTTCCTTGCTGTGTTCAGTGGTGAATGTGGGTCATGTGACTCTCTCCTGGTACAAAGGAAACAGTTTATTGTCCAGCATCAGTGTGTCTGATCTCAACATCAGTCTCTCTCTACCTCTGGAGGTGGAATATCAGGATAAAAACACCTACAGCTGTGTGCTCAACAATCTCATCAGCAACCAGACCACACATCTGGACATCAGTCAACTCTGTCACACATGTGCAGGTACGACAGTTTTGATATTAGCATTTATGTACACGTTCACTTACATTAATGTCTCTCTTTTACTCTCCTTCTCAATCTAGGTTCTGTATCTCAGATAGTGCTGATTTCTGCAGCTGCTCTGATGATTGTAGCTGTAATTGGGATCTGCAGGAAACAAGGAAAAACAGACAGAGAAGGCAAGTGTTTCCTACTGCTTTCAAAACTGTTTTTAATCAATTAATAGCCATAATTATCATCTAATCACAATTAATCTCATAAACAGTTGAGACTGGTGATGAAGAAATCACCTACGCTGAACCTACTTCCTACAAACGAGATGCATCTAAAACAGTAAGATTATTTATTTATTTCAGTGTATCACATTAGATGCCCTTGTATTTTTTACCATTTGTTCCATTACATATATTACACTGAACAAAATTATAAACGCAACACTTTTGTGCCCCCGTTTATTTTTCATG